AAATAAGTCAAAGATTTTGGTACAAATCCCTAGGTGTTCCCCCACAACATCTGAGAACAGTCTAATGTCACTCTTCCAGGTCTGTAAGAATAACAACTAATTTGAAAACGGGCCAGGCGCAGTGGCTCATGCCTGTAATCCCAGCACTTTGGGAGGCCGAGGTAGGCGGATCGCTTGAAGCCAGGAGTTTGAGACCAGCCTGGCCAACATGGCGAAACCCAGTCTCTACTTAAAATACAAAAGTTAGCTGGGCATGGTGGCTCATGCCTGTAGTCTCAGCTACTCAGGAAGCTGAGGCATGAGAATCTCTTGAACCCGGGAGGTGGAGGTTGCAATGAGGTGAGATTGCACCAGTGCACTCCAGCCTGGGTGACAGAGTGAGAATCTCTCAAAAAAAGAAAAGAAAAGAAAACAGCTAGCTACCTAGCTTAGTTAGTAACATTAGAATATCAACAGAATACAAACCAGAAATGAAAAGTGGAGTTTGGAGATGCAAACTTTGAAATTATTTGCCCAGTAATGTCTGGGAGTAGAGATTGAATTTGGGGAAAACAAACAGGCTTGTCATTAGAGAGGTATTTTCAACTCCTGACAATGACATTTTATCAGAGCTCATCATGGTCTGATAACACTCTTTTGCTTTGCTTACGTGCTCATTAAAATGGGTGCTCTGGAGAGGGAAGACAAATATTCCAGTTACTAGAAAGCTAGCTTCCACTCTAAATTAATAAAGAGACCTTCCAGCTTCTACATGAGTGTTATGTGATTTTAACTAGTATTCTTCTGTCACAGAGAATTTTATTCCCTTTAGGAATACTAAGAAACTTTAGCACCTAAAATGGCCAGATTTGAGACTTAGCCTCTGGCTGTGGTTATTTCACCAAATCCATGCTGTCCTCTGACTCTTGGCAGTGGACTAGCTGGATCTCCCGGTTATACCTCTTCAATATGCATGATTGTCATCTCCCCTTCAAATGTCAATAAATAGTAACTTGTTTTTTTGAAGCCACCTTCTGATAGTTCCATGCCTGATGATTCTTTAAAAAATAATTCATGTTTAATGACACAATACGTGATATGTTCTTTATGTAAAAAATTCAAAGACTGAAGTGCCTTTTGACTGCCATCCTCCATGCCTCCGTGCCTGCCTCCTCTCCTTCCCTGTCTACTCTTATTTCCAGGGTAATCCTTGTCTCTGATGTTTGTGTTACAACCTTCCAAACTGGTTTTTTTGTTGTTGTTGTTGTTTGGGTTTTTTTTGGGATGGAGTATTGCTCTGTCACCCAGCCTAGAGTGCAGTGGTACAGTCTCGGCTCACTGCAACCTCTGTATCACAGGTTCAGACAATGATCCTGCCTCAGCCTCCTGAGTAGCTGGGATTAAAGGCGACCGCCACCACACCTGGCTTGTTTTTGTGTGTGTGTGTTTTTTTTTGTTTTTTTTTTTGAGACAGAGTTTCACTCTTGTTGCCCAGCCTGGAGTGCAATGGCGCGATCTTGGCTCACTGCAACCTCTGCCTCCTCAAGCGATTTTCCTGCCTCAGCCTCCTGAGTAGCTGGGATTAAAGGCGACCGCCACCACACCTGGCTTGTTTTTGTGTGTGTGTGTTTTTTTTTGTTTTTTTTTTTGAGACAGAGTTTCACTCTTGTTGCCCAGCCTGGAGTGCAATGGCGCGATCTTGGCTCACTGCAACCTCTGCCTCCTCAAGCGATTTTCCTGCCTCAGCCTCCTGAGTAGCTGGGATTACAGGCATGCACCACCATGCCCGGTTAATTCTGTATTTTTTGTAGAGACAGGGTTTCTCCATACTGGTCAGTCTGGTCTTGAACTCCCGACCTCAGGTGATCCTCCTGCCTCGGCCTCCCAAAGTGCTGGGATTACAGGCGTGAGCCACCGTGCCTGGCCACACCTGGCTAATTTTTTTTTCTTTTATCTTTTTCCTCCGGAGTAGTTGGGATTACAGGCACCTGCCACCACACCCACTAATTTTTTAAAAAATTAATTTATTTTTTAAAAAAATTATACTTTAAGATCTTGCTAGTTCTTTGCTACAAAGTTCTTGCTAGATCTTTGCTAGTTCTTGTAGAGCTGGGTGCAGTGGCTCCTGTAATCCCAGCACTTTGGGAGGCTTAGGCGGGTGGATCACGAGGCCAGGAGATCAAGGACCATCCTGACTAACAACAATTGAAAACCCCGTTTGTCTCTACTAAAAAATACAAAAAATTAGCTGGGCGTGTGGTGGGTGGCGCCTGTAGTCCCAGCCAACTCAGGAGGCTGAGTGGCAGAGAATTGTGTGAACCTGGGGAAGCGGAGCTTTGCAGTGGAGCCAAGACCTCGCTGCTGCACCTCCCAGCCCGGGTGACAGAGCGAGACCTGGTCTCAAAAAAAAAAAAAAAAAATATATATATATTATATATATATATATATATATATGTTAGTGTATATGTCTTCTTCATACACCAAATTACCAGCTGTTTCTATAGGACAGTAATTCTCAACTTGGGGACAGTTTTCCCCCCAGTGGGAACATTTTTGGTTGATTCAATGTGGGGGAAGAGGGAATAAGCCACTGCCATTTCTAAAAGTAGAGGCCAGGGATGTTGGCTAAACAACTACCGTGGCACAGGACAGCTCACAACAAAGAATTTATCCAGTAAATACATTTAAAGCCAATTGCCATGTTTTTTTGGCTTTGTTAATCACAGGAAAACCCACACCTAACATGGATTTCTTGTATAGGTTAACTATTGCTTATTGTAACACACCATCAAAACTTTTTTTTTTTTTGTTTTGAGACGGGGTTCTCACCTGTCACGCCAGGGGGCTGAGAGGCAGGTGGGCACGAATCCTCAACTTCAGGAGCAGCCTTCAACCCCTTGCAGGGGCTCAGGTTATTCCCCTACCTTAGCCTCCCAAGTAGCTGGGACCACAGGCATGTGGCACCACACCCAGCTAATTTTTGTATTTCTTATAGAAATGGGGTTTTGCTATGTTGCCTGAGCTGGTTACAAACTCCTGGGCTCAAGTGATCCAACTGCTTCAGCCTTCCAAGGTGTTAGGATTACAGGCATGAGCCACCATGCCTGCCCCCAAAACTGAGAATAACTTATTTTTCATGATTCTGTGGGTTATAGACGGGCAGTTCCTCTGAGATCACTCATGTAGCTGCATTCAACTGGACAGTGGTGAGGCTGGAAAGCCCAAGGCAGCCTCACTTATGTGTCTGGCAGTTGTCAGCTGTCATCTAAGATGCCTCAGTTCTCTTCCGTGTGGCCTTCCATCCTCCAGCAGCCCAGACCAGCAAACTCACATGGTCAGGGCATTCTTCCAAGAGAGCAAAAAGTGGAAGCTGATGCGTTTATTGAGACATGAACCTAGAATTCACACAGCATCACTCCTACCACATTCAGAATTCACATAGCCCTACTCTGCTCCATTCTATCAATCAACACAAGTTGCAAAGCCAGCTCATTTTCAAGAGCAGGAAAGTAGACAACCTCTTGCTGGAAGAAGCAGCTACCACTAAGTCATACTGATCAGAACTGCTGTGTGAGGATGAGAAGACTAGGAAGTGAAGTCGTTTGAGTTTTAGGATGGTATAAGACTGATCGGTGGTGTTCATCTTAGATGTAGTGGAAAACCTTCCGTATACCATGGCCTTGAATACTGAAGTAAACTAATTGAGGGTAATGATTCAGTCCATTTTTATCAATACATGCCTAAAAGTCACAGGTCATTTATATTATCATAGGTCATGTTACGTTATATTGTAAATGTCTGTGTGAGTCTTTATCTTTCTGCCCATGGTATCTAGTACACAGGAACTCAGTAAGTTTTTGTGGAATCAAACTGAAATGACTAGCTGCCAACCAGACAATTCTGTTCACCCTTAGCAGTTGCAGGTTTAACATTCCAGGATTTGACTATTCAAGAATGATTCTGAAGGTCCATGATATCATTTAAATTGCTGAGTCATGAATATGAATCATGCTGTGAGGCTGGTACACTAGAAAAAACTCGTAGCTATCCAGTGAGCTTAGTTCATTGCTCACTATCTTCATCTCGACACAGCTTCATTGTTCTCGGCCTATTCAAGTGTGAAATCTCAGTAGTGAAATCTTATGAAAGGGCCACTTAATTTCCATGAAAACAGGCTACAGTGGTGCACGTCAATAATAGAACTTGTGAAGATCTCAAGATCTATCTCTGTGGCTAAGTAAAAGAGGCAGAGGTGTGCCTTGGAAAGCTTCCACTTGGAAAAACTGCTGAAAATATCACTGTCTGAGGGATGCTCTTAGGCTGGACTTTGAAAAGCGAAGACATAGCTTTGTGGAGTACTGCTGGACAGGCATCCAGCCTCCTCTGCCGTTCCTTTCTTGTGTGGTCAGACTATAGATTCCTAGGCCCCACGTCAGAGAGATACCCTGGGTGCAGAGCTGGAACACAAATCCTAAAAAGTAGCCAACAGTTATAATTTCTGCTTATCTCTCATGACTACTCACGGTTGCTTCTTAAGGATTCTGTTGACAAGTGAAAATGGAACCAATGATAAAGCTTTGGTCTGTTGGTCCATTTTACCTTTTCTTTTCAATACAAAGTTATGCTTGTACCCAAAGGATCTTGGGGCATTGTATCTATTTAACTATATTTTCATTTTACCTTTATTATTATTCATTCATTTAAATTGATGAATGTTCAGGGCAGCCAAATCTATTTTATAAAACTGTAGGAATAGTATAGAGCACATTAACTTTCAGTGTCCATTTTATAGTCTATAGGAAAAGCACTGGATTCAAACTTTAATGTCCTTTGTCTTTTTTTTTTTGTACCTGGCATATAGTCTATGATTATAGTCTAAAATATGCCAGGTGATTCTGCAAAGGAAGATCACAGACTAAGAATACCTAAAATAAAAGTCACATTAAGTAACCATTTATTTCCAGTTACAAGAAAATGTAAGATAAATCATTTGGAATCACTCTGCTTAAAATCTATTACAGGAGGAAGTCTAACAGGAGCTGTATTTAATCCAGCTTTGGCACTTTCGCTACATTTCATGTGTTTTGATGAAGCATTTCCTCAGTTTTTTATAGTATACTGGCTGGCTCCTTCTTTAGGTAAGCATATTTTAATTTAATATGTCTGAAAGATTAGGGTATTTAAAAATATGGTATGTGTATATTATTGTAACATGTCAATTTCCAAAGCCAGAGCAGGCACAAAACAGAAAATGAAAAAGGTAGTTAACATGCCTGAAATGATACTTTGTGTAGTATCCTTTAAAACTGTTTTTATCTTTAAAGAAACAGTATCTAGTTAAGGGTAGTCAGTTTTACATACGCTATTACTTTAAGAAACCTTGAGATCTGAGCACCAAAAAAGCAAACAGTGCTTACTTCCCTTCAAATATAATTTTTTTTTTTTTTGCTAAAGAAATTTGTTTTTTCACATTTGTGATCTCCAGATAAAGTATCATTTAGTTCATTTGACTCATTTTGCAGAAGAGCATCTCATGAAACAGTGAATACCTGTATTAAGTATAGTTTAAAAGTTATCCACAAGTTACATTCCTGATATTTTTATTTTATTGTTTTTGTTTTGCTTTGTTTTGTTGTTGTTTTTTTTTTTTGAGACAGGGTCTGTCTTTGTCACCCAGGCTTGAGTGCAGTGGCATGATCATAGCCATAGCTCACTGTGCTTGAACTCCTGGGCCCAAGCAATCCTCCTGCCTTAGCCTCCTGAGTAGCTGGGATGACAGGCATGTGCCACCACACCCAGCTAATTTGTGTATATTTTGTAGAGATGAGGTCTTGCTATGTTGCTCAGGCTACATTCCAGTTATTTCTATTTGGATCAGATATATAAACTCTTTATAAAGATGGGTCAAATAACACAAAATTATACAATATACAAAAAATTATTATGCATTTCTTATGCATTACTTATATAAAGTTATCAGCATTTCTTGATTTTGTTTAGTCATCTGTTTTAAGCCTGGTTATAACTCATAACTGTAAGTGAATATGAAGATGCTTGGCCCTCCATTAATTCACTCTTCTTTTTATCCAGTTAGCATATTGTTTCTTGTTAGTCATTTTCTTTAAAACATGCACACACATACACAGAAGGGAACACAGAAGGGAAGTGCCACAACAGGTTTGAAGAGTCAATCACACTTTACTCTTCCTGTTTACCTTCCATTCCTCTATCTCACATTTATGTTATTGTCATGCTCAGTATCATATTGTTATGCTCAATGATATCTATAGGCCTAAACATAAAGCGTATCAAAGAAAAATTGGTTTTAAATACTAGTAATATAACTTTTGGTCAGTTCTAGTGAGTGCTAGTATTTTCCGGTAACGTCTTTAAAGAAAAATTTTCTCCGTTTTTAGGCCGGGCGTGGTGGCTCATGCCTGTGATCCCAGCACTTTGGGAGGCCGAGGCGGGCGGATCACAAGGTCAGGAGATTGAGACCATCCTGGCTAACACGGTGAAACCCCGTCTCTACTAAAAAAAACTTTAGGCCGGGCGTGGTGGCTCATGCCTGTGATCCCAGCACTTTGGGAGGCCGAGATGGGTGGATCACGAGGTCAGGAGATCGAGACCATCCTGGCTAACACGGTGAAACCCCGTCTCTACTAAAAAAAATTAGCCGGGCGAGGTGGCGGGCGCCTGTAGTCCCAGCTACTCAGGAGGCTGAGGCAGGAGAATGGCATGAACCCGGGAGGTGGAGCCTGCAGTGACCCCAGATCACGCCACTGTACTCCAGCCTGGGTGACAGAGAAAGACTCCGTCTCAAAAAATCCATTTTTAAAGTTAAAAAGGTCACTAATGTAAAGAAGTTAAGAAGTTAACAAGGTCTAAGTGGGCAGGCCTACTGGTAGTTTTTATATGAAAAAATTCTCCCAGTATGTCTGGAGACTAACATATATTAACATGATTTATTTGTTAGCATGCTCCAACTACAATTGTAATAGTAGGCTAAGGCGGAGGTCCCCAACCTCCAGGCTGCAGACCAGTACAGTCCGTGGCCTGTTAGCAATCAGGCCACACAGCAGGAGGTGAGTGGCAGTCAAGCTTACAAAGCTCCGTCTCCTGTCAGGTCAGCGGTGGCATTAGATTCTCATAGGAGCATGAACCTTATTGTGAACTCAGCATGTGAACGATCTAGGTTACACGCTGCTTATGAGAATCTAACTAATGCCTGATGATCCAAGGTGGAACAGTTTCATCCCAAAACCATGCCCCCAGTCCATGGAAAAACTGTCTTCCAGGAAACCAGTCATCACTGTGTTAAGGAATTATTTCATCCATTACTTGACAGAACATTAAAAGTAGCCAGGTAGGCTGGGTGCGGTGGCTCATGCCTGTAATCCCAGCACTTTGGGAGGCCGAGGTGGGTGGATCACCTGAAGTCAGGAGTTCGAGACCAGTCTGGCCAACTCTACTAAAAATACAAAAATTAGCTGGGCATGATGATGCGTGCCTGTAATCCCAGCTACTCGGGAGGCTGAGGCAGGAGAATCGCCTGAACTCAGGAGTTGGAGGTTGCAGTGAGCCGAGATCGCACTATTGCACTCTAGCCTGGGTGACAGAGCAAGTCTCACCCAAAAAAAAAAAAAAAAAAAAGAAAAGCACAGTGGCACATGTCTATAGCCCCAGCTACCAACTACTTGGGAGGCGGAGGCCAGGAGTTCAAGTCCACCTTGGGCAACATAGCAAAACAACCTGTCTAAAAAATAAATTTTTTTAAAAAGGGTCTTTCTGGAAGAATTTTAAAAAGGAATCTGAAGTAATGACAATCTCTGTAAAAGGACCTTGATTTTTTTCTTAGAACACATTTTCCAGCCAAAGCAGCACTTAATGACTTCCTGGAAGAACGTACTAGAAAAAAAGCCTCATGATAGATAAAAAAGGAATGCTAAATCTTCCCCTTTTATAGAGCAGAAAGTGTGATAGGGTGGGGAAAGTGACTATATTCTCTTCTTGTTTGTGTAGTACAAACAGGAAGATAACACATTACTATGTAGCCAAAACATTTTAAAGAAACACTTATCCCCCAATAATCCAAACACCCCCTCCCCCCAAAAAAAAGTCCAAATCTCTTACATATAGAAGTGGAATCAAACTTTTTTTGGTCTGGCTGTGATCACCGAGGCTGGAGTGCAGTGGCGCAATCTTGGCTCACTGCAACCTCTGCCTCCCAGGCACAAGTGATCCTCTTGTCCCAATCCCCCAGGTAGCTGGGACTACTGGTGTGTGCCCCCACACCCAGCTAAGTTTTGTATTTTTTATAGAAACAGGGTTTCTATGTTGCTCAGGCTGGTCTTGAACTCCTGGGCTCAGGTGATCCGCCCACCTTGGCCTGCCAAAGTGCTGAGATTATAGGTATGAGCCACCATGCTTGGCTGAGATCAAACATTTTCGAATTCATATGATCTTTTTTATATTTAGCTTGTTGAAAATATGTATTCCAAGATTCTTATTTGGTCTAAGGACCCCTACCTTTTAAAATAGACCCAACATAAAATTTGTATTATATTTTTGGTTTAAAGAGGCCTGTTTGTATATTTCTTTCTGAGGTTTATGAATTAGAATAAAGGCATCCTTCAATATATGTAGATAAAAGACATGTATGTGAATAAATGATGATTTTTTTAGAATACTGCGTTCTAGCCTGCTATTGAATTTTGTCATATATTGAAGTTAACTTCTCACTGGGGGAAAAAAAAATGGCTCCAAATGAAATAAAGAAATAAAGCGACACATTATATAACTCTGTAAAGAATGGGAAAAAATAAATTATAAATTAAAAGAATCATTCAAAGAGTTAAGAGATGAGGAGTCCAAAATAAAAATAAAAACAAAAACCCCAAAACAAACACCACTCAACTAGCAAAGTTACATTAATTAGGCAGTGCCAGGGGAGTGAGACAGTGGAAAGAGTAATCCCAAGATACCCACCTTCTTTCCTTCTTGACCAAGCAGGAAGCAAACTATTCTTGGGAGTCATAGTCCATATTCTTTCTTGTTTCTCATCACAGCAGAGATAATTATAATTCCTCTAATGGCCTCTGCCATCTTCCCAAATTAAAAATTTAGAAACATGACTATAAGGATGCATATGTGTCCTGGTGTGGTAGTACATGCATGTAGTCTCAGCTACTTGGCAGGCTGAGGTAGGAGAATCACCTGAGCCCAGGAAGTCGAGGCTGCAGTGAGCCGAGATCGTACCACTGCACTCCAGCCTGAGTGATGGGAGTGTGACCCTGTCTCAAAAAAAAAGAAAAAAAATATATATATATATATATAGTATTCTCTAGTTTATACATTTCATACAGTGAAAAGTGGAAAATTCTATTTGCTTCTATGAAACTACAATTCCATTTTTGGAAAAAATTTTAAATGTAATATCTTATTTTCTAGTTCTGACTTTATAAAAAATGACAAAAAAATTGTGGGTCAGTTAACATAAAGGTTGTTTCTGATATTTTTTCATTTAAAGCCTTTGGTTGCAAACAGACTCATCTTTCACAAATATGTTAAGGTATCTAAGTGCTTGCCAAACCTTAAGGTTTTTTGTTGTTGCAAACAAGAGAACATAATTTCAAATGTGCATGTGACAAAACTTGTTTTCAGTCTGAATTTAAACTGATCTAGGGCTCTAAGCCTGAATACATTCAGATCAAGATGAAAAATTAACCACTGCAGATTTACTTTTCAAGATAATGACTTGAGGCCTCACTCTCCTTAGTCCCTATTTCACATTGAAAAATTAACCAACAGCTACATGCCAGATTTCTCTGTTGTAATTCTCAGAAATGAGGATTACTAATATGTGAATTTTCAAAACATTTTGGGCTGGGTACAGTGACTTACGCCTGTAATCCTAGCACTTTGGGAGGCCAAGGCGGGTGAATCAGGAGTTCGAGACCAGACTGGCCAATGTAGTGAAATCCCGTCTCTACTAAAAATACAAAAATTAGCCAGGCGTGGTGGCGGGCGCCTGTAATCCCAGCTACTCAGAAGGCTGAGGCAGGAGAACGGCTTGAACCTGGGAGGCAGAAGTTGCAGTGAGCCAAGATCACACCACTTCACTCCAGCCTGGGCGAAAGAGCGAAACTCTGTCTCAAAAACAAACAAATAAACAACAATTTTGTATTATATTTAAGATTTAAACTTCCACCATTGACTGAAATTTTGTTTTAGATATTTTATTTGCTTGACACATCTCTAAAAGCGGTTGTCAGTTAAATAAGGTTGAGATAAAAATGAAAAAAAAAAAAAGCTGTTAATGGTTGAGATTAATGAAAAAGGAGAGACTGGAGGAAGTAACCTAACATTGTTTTTATTTGAGCATTCTAAGTGAAAACTCCAAATGCTTTCAGTTGCTTTATTCTCCAGGTATGTCCCTGGGGCACGGAGGGAAGGGAGAGTGTTACCATTTTAAAGAGAAGAAAATGAAGACCCAAGTCTAGGGTTTCTCACTTAGCAAGTCAGTAACAGAGCCAGAACTAAAACTATACATCTTTGGATTTGGTTTATCCTTTGAATTCATTAGATCCTATTGGTTTTGCCAAATGCATACTGTTTTTAAGGATTCACAGTTGAAGAAAAAATAATCTGAGAATATTAGATTTAAATATCTAACATGTTTCATGTAGAATTGATGTAACCAATTCTTTAAGCATAGCTTTCCAAACAGCTAGGTATATAATTGTATATAATTTTAAAATATACCCTCCTAGTGATTATGAACTTCCTTAAAGATTGTTTTTTTATTTTACTGTATTTTGTCTTTCAGGTATATTGTTGATGATTTTGATGTTCAGCTTTTTCCTTCCATGGCTGCATAACAACCATACAATTAATAAAAAGGAATAAATAACTGTTCCAAAGACTCAGACTAACATACAGGACAGTCCAGCTGGATGTGATAAAGATTTTATCACCTCATATGGAAAACACTGGCTGCACTGGATTCGTCAGTGTTAACTTCCTTTGAGGAAGCTGCCTTATAGTTTTCATCACTGGGACTTAAACAAAAAATTACTGTGAAAATGAGGTATCCTGTACTTCTCAGTTAAGACTTGTTCTTTGAGTGATGTATTAAATGCTGCTAGAAAAGCCTCATTACATTAAACATAAATCAATCTTAAATGGTAATTGTTAACTTTGATGAAAAATGAGTACAGGATGAGAAGGGAAGTAATGGTGGTAGTAAGACCAAAGAATTTGTGTATCAAGTGTCACCCAAATGAACAGAATTTTTAACTATAAGTACAACCCATCAACTTACAGAACTGGCGAGAGGATACTTTCAGCCACCACCTCACACAATGATACCATCAAGCAGTGTCATCTTTCAGCAGGAAAGTCACTTTTAGAAGTAGAATATATATTCACTCACATATAAGCAATTTCCTACATTTTAAGTATATTACAGTCTAGTATCTAAAATATTTTCTCTAAATAGACAATCTCACTAGCTCTAGCCAAGTGGTTATTCTTTAATAGAATATAATAAAACAAAACACCCATACGAAGTCAGGATTTAAGCTTTTCACATTCTCCTTTGAGCCAACAGCCAGCTACCTTATGAAGTAGGGAGGGCATGTATTTTTAATCTCCATTTTACAGATAAGGAAACTAAGCCTAGATGGGTTTGCTGCCCTGGCTTAGATCACATAGAGCCAAATACCATCTCTAGTCTTTGACTTCAATCCAAATATTCTTCTCGGTCATGATTATGACTAAAGGGAAATCAAGGGTCCATAGAAATATTAAGTACTTATAATAACATTAAAACTTGTTTAGAAATTAGTATTTTTTGAGATTTAAAGAACCTTCCAGTTTTACTATATTAGAAGGCTTCTTTTATTGTATGTGGTCTACTTTTTATTAAAAGTTCAGGCCATGAAAGGTTAAGTGTGTTTCCCTTCAAAGGAAATTCCATTATCAGAGTTAGAATTGAAAGTAAAGGCTGGGCGCGATGGCTTACACCTGTAATCCCAACACTTTGAGAGGCTGAGACAGGAGGATCACAAGGTCAAGAGATCGAGACCATCCTGGCAAAGATAGTGAAACCTTGTCTCTACTAAAAATACAAAAATTAGTCAGGCATGGTGATGTGCACCTGTAGTCGCAGCTACTCAGGAGGCTGAGGCAGAAGAATCGCTTGGACTCGGGAGGCAGAAGTTGCAGTGAGCCGAGATCGTGCCCAGCCTGGCAACAAAGCAAGACTCCATCTCAAAAAAAAAAAAAAAAAGTAAAATAATGTAAAATAATATGGGGTGAGATATAATCTGTTTGAGTAATAATCAGTTAACAACTGATAATTTGCCAGGTAATTTAAGTGATGCTTGGTGATCAGCTTGTAGACAGTAACTCTATTTATATCTGCAGACTGAACAGGTGCAGCCTTTTGCCAAGTCTACCCAACAAGGCAGCCAGCTTTGTATTTTAAAAAGCAGAGTTCGGTCAGGCACGGTGGCTCATGCCTGTAATCCCAGCACTTTGGGAGGCTGAGGTGGGTGGATCACAAGTTCAGGGGTTCCAGACCAGCCTGGCCAAGATGGTAAAACCCTGTCTCCACTAAAAATACAAAAATTAGTTGGGCGTGGTGGCAGGCACCTGTAGCCTCAGTTACTCGGGAGGCTGAGGCAGGAGAATCGCTTGAACCCGGAGGGCACGAGGTGGCAGTGAGCCGAGATCACACCACTGCACTCCAGCCCAGGCAACAAGAGTGAAACTCCATCTTATTAAAAAAAAAAAAGCAGAGTTCACAAATGTGACTAAATGACTAAATGCAGTCTCTGACCTATTTTATTTGGCCTGCACAGTATTTTTTTTAAAAGTCAAAATTAAGTAAAATCCATAGTTCCAGCTGCTCTCAAAAATTCCAAAGACCTTGCGATACTAGGCCTGAATTCTGCATACAACACAAAATAATGGTGGTTCCCTTTAAAATGGTCCGTCTTGCAAACATGAAGCTAAGTTTCACTTACTGTTTCATGGCTATTTTTCTTATACGTAATGTGTCTTTTTGCATCTTTAGCATGAGGACTTCTGTGGTTAAGAAAAATGAGTATTGGCCGGGCGTGGTGGCTCACGCCTGTAATCCCAGCACTTTGGGAGGCGAGGGGGCGGATCAACAGGTCAGGAGATCGAGACCATCCTGGCTAACACGGTGAAACCCCGTCTCTACTAAAAATGCAAAAAAATTAGCTGGGCGTGGTGGGGGCCGCCTGTAGTCCCAGCTACTTCGGAGGCTGAGGCAGGAGAATGGCGTGAACCCGGGAGGCGGAGCTTGCAGTGAGCCGAGATCGCGCCACCGCACTCCAGCCTGGGCGACGGAGCGAGAGACTCCGTCAAAAAAAAAAAAAAAAAGAAAAAGAAAAATGAGTATTAATCTGTGCAAACGCCTAACCCTCTGAACTTCACCTGTCAGACTTTGGAGTTTGTGACTTCTGATGACATTACTACCTCTACAGCCCTCTCAAGTAGTGGCTATTTTCTCTCCCACACTTAGTATACCACTGTGCCTGGAGGCAGAGTAGATTTCCTTGTCCTCATTGCTGCTGCTCATCCATTCTCCTCTGCTTCTTCCATTAAAAACATGTCATCAGCTACCTGGGTACTTGTTGCAGTCTTCTAGTATATAGTCCCCTCAATTCCCCTTTGTTCCTTTCAGATCTTAGTTCCCGTCTCACTCTCTACCACCACCACAGTTGTACTTCTTGGTGACAGATACAAAGATGATCCTTCCAGCTTCATGGCCTTGGAGTTCACTGGATCTCTCCTTCATTAATTTTGTCTTCTGCTTTGCCTCACCTGCAATTTTGGTGGTAACTTTGAACTTACTACCAATAACTGAAATATTATATGAACTCAGACACCCTACTCTCCAATCACTGACCCCTTTCCAGCTCAGTCTCTTTAGGACCCCATCTCCAGTGATCCTTTGACCCCCATATGGAACTTCTGTCCATTGATAACACCACTTTTTCACATCTCTCACCCCTCTCAAGTAGCCTCTTTTCCTTAAGCAGCTTACTTGGCCAGTCATCATCACATGCATACACCCTTAACTCCCTTGCTCCTCTATCTCATACTCACAGAGCTTAGCCTCAACTTGATTAAATCCAACTGTTCGCTTATTCCATGCCTGCACATGTGCAACAGAAGAGCAACTTTTTTTTTTTTTTTTTTTTTTAAGATTTGGGGTTGTAGTAGACAGCTGTACATTTTTTTCAATCCAGCATCTAAGCATCCTTCTTATCTGGCATAATCCACTCCACTCCTGTGAGCATCTGCACAGGAGCAGTGTCCTTCTATTGTAGAAGCTGAAAGGCCCAGATACTCCTTCTGCCCTTGGCAATGAAGACACACAGTGCCAACCAGAAGTTTGTATCTGAAGTGTGGTGACTCATAGACACAGGGACAATCAAGAAATCAGTCTAACAGCAGCGGAGGAATCGTAACATCTAATGTAGATTTCATCTTTTTATAAGCCTGGTTTATTTCAACTTTCCTGTCCATTTAGTGAGCTACCAGATAGCTTTCTAATAAAAAATTTCTGGCTTAGGCCGGGCACGGTGGCTCACGCCTGTAATCCCAGCACTTTGGGAGGCCAAAGCAGGCAGATCACTTGAGGTTGGGAGTTCGAGACCAGTCTGACCAACATGGAGAAACCCTGTCTCTACTAAAAATACAAAATAGTGGGGTGTGGTGGCACATGCCTGTAATCCCAGCTACTCAGGAAGCTGATGCAGGAGAATTGCTTGAACCCGGGAGGCTTAGGTTGCGGTGAGCCAAGATCATGCCACTGCACTCCAGCCTGGGCAACAAGAACGAAACTCCGTCTCAAAAAAAAAAAAAAAAAAATTCTGCTTAGTCAGATTTGGATTTACAATCATAATTTGGGTTGATACAGGGTCATAATTTTATGAACATAAATTGCTACGCTGTCCTCATATTTGTACTGTTTACTATAGAGGCTTAGACTGCTATATTTTGTGGGAATATAAGCACCTTTTTCTCCTTGTCAAACCCATTGTGTGCCTAGAAACTAGATATTCAAGTACATTAAACCTGTTTGTAGAGCAAGAGTAGAGATTTGCAGTGAAGGTGTGAGGTCCTATGCAAAATAAGTATAGATTTCATGATGTCTACTTTAATTGCTCAGTGGATTTTTAAACTTCAAGCTAATCAGATGTATTCTAAATAGTGAGTTGATATATTTGTAGCTGCTGCTTTCTGTTATGAAAAGGATTACTACTATTAGTTAACAACTACCATTTACTGAGCTATATTCTAGGCACTGTTGTTCTAAGTGCTTTACGTGTACTAGTGATTCATGTAATCTTCAAAATAATTCATTTTTTTGTCATTTGAAATTACGAAGTTCCCCTACTGATTTTACTTGTGTAAATATGAACAGAGTGAGATGTTAGTGAAAATATGTTCCAGCTCCTTCATAAAGGGATGGCAATAATTCTATGAGGATCCCCATGAGAGACAATGCTTAGAATTCAGTTACTGGTCACAAAAGATGAGTCCCAGATATGGATTCATCCATTCTATACTTTTAAAACAGGATTTGCATGAGAATCAGGTATATAATAGTGAACTCATCTGAAATCCTGCAGATAAATTCTATCTAAATATCTATTATCTCTGAGCAGTAATCATACCTGTCTTCTAAAAGTAAAGGACTATACAGATTGAGTATCCCTTAAGCGAAATTATTGGGATCAGAAGTATTTCAGATTTTGGAATGTTTTTAAAATTTTGGAATAATTCGCATTATACTGGTTAAGCATCCCTAATCCGAAAATCTGAAATCCAAATGCTCCAATGAGCAGTTCCTTTGGACATCACGTTAGCACTCAAGTTTCAGATTTTGGGGAATTTCAGATTTCACATAATACTCAACCTGTATATTATGATCATCTGCACATAATCTCTCACCTTTACCAATACTGAGGAAGCTCCTTAAGAGAACCTCAAAAATACATTTTTTTTTTTTTTTTTTGAGACAGAGTTTTGCTCTTGTTGCCCAGGCTGGAGCGCAATGGCGCAACCTCGGCTCACTGCAACATCCACCTCCCAAGTTCAACGGATTCTCCTGCCTCAGCTTCCCAAGTAGCTGGGATTAGAC